GTCTGAGCAGAAGGCTCGGAGCAGTCTGGCCTGGAGCCTCTGAGCGCCGAGAGAGCTGCAAAATGGCACCCGGGAGGAAATCAGAAACATGCACTCGCCTCTCTGTCTCTGCCTTGGGAAGTAATGTCGGATTACACTCCCCCTCTGGCCCTGCCTCAATTTCAGACTAACACGCAAGCAAGCATGAAGGCACGCAGGGGGATTAAGGAGGGAGTTTGTGTTTTGGGGGAACGTTTGAATCAGTGAATTCCACAATGTTGAGCACAGGACTTATAAACTCGACAGACTCAATCAAATACTTTTCATTGATACTGAATCACTTTTTTTATTGGCATTGGGGAAACTCACATTTTCCTACATAAAGCCTCAGATTTGGCTTTGCTGCCTTTTGATGTTGCCGTGAGGATAGAAGTGCAAAAACAGTCAAATACTGCAGCAAACTGTTGGCTGAGATTACTTACTGTAACTATTCCACCAACATCTATACGAATGGATAGGTACCACTTTAAGACGGCATGTTAGTGAGACAGATGGAGGCGATGCTTGAACTCCTGCTGTATGTTATGTAAATGTCTGTGTGTGTGTCGCAGACTAAATCTGCTCTATTAGAAACAGATCCGGGGACTCTGGATGCCATTCGAGCTTTGTTAGATATCAGAAGATCGATACATGATGGGCGTGGTCACCAACAACTGGTGTGCCAAAAACATATCCGCCTCACCGCTGCACCGCCAGCTGCACTCCGTTGATGCAGGGCAGGATGGATCCATGCTACCACGTTAACACCGTGGTTAACTCATGGAAAGCTGACTTTACTAGAGCTGGAGTTAAATATCTCCAGTCTTCCGGTCCCAATATCTTTAAGCTCTGCTTAAAGATATTGGGACCGGAAGAGGTCGGACGTTGTCAACCGATGAGTCTAAGGTCGTGTCCAAATTCATGGGCTGCATCCTCCTGAGGACCCGGCCTTCGTGGTCTACGTGGGCCGGGTCCTCAGGAGGTCGGGTAGGCTGAAAGTAAACGGCTGTGAAATTGGACGGTCTAGCCTTCTGATTAGCATCACCGCTGTCTCGGTGGAGTTTAAACTCGGCCGTCTGCTCCTTGCTGTCTAAAATATAACAGGACACTGGAGTAAACTCTCGACCGTCTCACACTTCTGTTTAATCAGTTTTCTGTTTGACGTTTAGTCAGCTGTGTGAAAACCAAGGAGGAACCCACCCGGGGGATTAATAAAGTTATATTTAATCTACTCTAATCTAATAACTTTAATCTCAGCCAAACCGATTTACTCACGAACAAA